GATCAATGCACCATCAAGTATAACTTACATGCATTAAACCAATTTCTCAGTCAAAATTTTCACAACAATTTCCTACCAATTGGAAGCTGTAAATGTTTAGCTTCAGTAAACTACCAGATACACCTGAGAATCATTCCTTAGTCAGTCAGTGGCTAAAGTCTGGATTTCATACAGCAATTTAATTTCTCTTTTTTTTTTTAGGGAAGGATGGAAAGAAAGGGGGTGGAAAGAAAGAAGAAGGGAAAGGAAGCAAAAGGAGGGAAGGATGGAAAGAAAGAAGAAGGGAATGGAAGGATGGGAAAAGAAAGAAAAAGTAGGGATGGATGGAAAGAAAGAGGAGGGGAAAGGAAGAAAAAGGAGGGATAGTATTGGACAAAAGATGTAAGAAAATGTCAGTGTTGAAAAGTAAAAGAAGAATTAAAGGTATAGTTAATGAGAAGATGGAGGGGAAGGTAATAAAGGAAGGAAAAAGAAGATGGGAATTTACCTCCACATGAAGAACTGAACTTTTGGTGGGATTTTAGAAGAAAAGATGGCTCTGGAGAAGGGGAGCACAGGGATGAAATAAAATAAAAGAGGGGTGATGTATAGTCATAAGAATTGTGAACTTATGTTACATATATGTCTATATACAGTAATGTGCAATAATTTTTTTATGTGCAATAAAGGGGAGGGATATGCCATTTCATAGATACATTTCATTTAAGCACCAATTTTAACCTAATTGGAATTCTTGGATTCTAATAGCAGTACATAGAAGAGAGATCATCTTCTCAACATGGTATTGGAGTGGGTGAGGGAAAATGACAAAACGTGGGTTGGGGAGTTGAGGTAGGGTATGGGAGGTGTGGTAGGAGGGATGGGGGGATATAAAACTTGTGGGGGAGGGGGAGGAGATTCTTCCGTCTATACTTATAATTTTATATAATTTGAGCAAAGTTTGACTTCATTTGGCGGTGGGTCAGTAAAGCTTGGGATTCTTTCTTTTAATTGTTATTATTGGTATTGTTATTTTATTGCTGCAGCTAATTTGAGAATATTACTCTATAGTTATGGGTATTTTCCTTTCTTTCAGCCAGGTACTCAGGGGTGTCCAATCGGTCCTCTTCATATGTTTGTTATTTGTTCTTGCTAGTATGTATGTCAATTTGTCCATGCCCATTATATCTATAATTTTTAATGTCCATTCTTCTGTTTGTGGTCTACCTTCCTGTTTCCATGTTCTAGCAAACACGATTCTGGCTGCTGTAATGATGTAGGTAAACAACTTGTCCTCATTGGTGTTCCATTTTATATCTGTCATCCCCAAAAGAAAGCTTTCTGGTTTGAACGGTATCCTCTTTTTTAGCACTTTTTGACAAATTTCTGCGATGTCTTTCCAATAGGATTTCGCTGTCTCGCAGAACCACCACATATGCATAAATGTTCCTCTATTTTTCCTACATTTCCAGCATCTGTCGTTCTGGTTCTCCTTGAATTTTGCAATCTTGTGAGGGGTGATGTACCATTGGTAGAATATCTTGGTCCAGTTTTCCTTAAGGTCATAGGCATAGGTATAGTTCATTCTTTTAATCCATAGCGTTTCCCAATCTTCTAGAGGTATTGTTCTTCCTATGTCTTTTGCCCATTTAATCATGCACCCCTTTATCAGCTCTTTTTCCGTGCTCCACTCCAGTAGTTGTCTATATATTTTTGTGATTGCTTTTTTCTTGCTGTTAAAGATCTTTTGCCATGTAGAGTTCTTTTCCTCAAATCCTTCTTTTTTATCTTCTATGTAATGATTCTTAATCTGCAAATATTGAAACCAATTCAGATTTGGGAATTTCGTGGATAGTTCTTCTTGTGTTCTTAAATTAGCCGTCCCTTTTTCTTTCTTTATGCAGTCTTCATAAGTGGGCCATATCGCCCATCCCATTTCTCGTCTGTGGCATGCTTCTAGGGGTGAGAGCCACAGTGGGGTTTTCCTGAACATCCTTTTTTTGTATTTGTCCCAGATCTTCAGTAGAGCAGAGCGTACAAAATGGTTTCCGAAGTTTTTCTCTATACTCTTTCTTCCATACCAAAGGTATGAGTGCCATCCTGCACGGAGGTCGTGGCCTTCTAATGTCAGCAGTTTTTTATTTTTCAGGTTTATCCAGTCCTGTACCCATTGAAGTCCACAGGCATCGCTATAAAGTCCCAAATTCGGGAGGCCTAGACCTCCTCTTTTCCTCTCATCCGTTAAGTTAACATAGCTGATCCTGGGTTTTTTGTTATTCCACACAAATCTTGTCAGGTCTTTGTTCCATTCTTTCACGATGCTCGTTTTCCTTACTATTGGTAAGTTTTGGAACAAATACATCATTTTTGGTAGGATGTTGGTTTTTATAGCAGCTATTCTGCCCAGAAGAGATAGTTGCATCGAGCTCCAATTTTTTAGATCTTTTTTTATTTCTTTCCATTTCTGATCATAATTGTTCTGATATAGTTGGGAATTTCTTGCTGTTAAATATATTCCTAGGTATTTTATTTTGCTCGTAATTTGTAGTCCCGTTCTGTCTTTTAACTCTTCCTGTCTTGATTTGATCATATTTTTAGTCAGAAGCATAGTTTTCTCTTTGTTGATTTTCAGTCCTGATACTGTGCCGAAGTCCTCCACTTTCTTAATCCATTTCTCTATGTTGCTTAGGGGATCTTCTATCGTGAATATAAGATCGTCGGCAAAGGCCCTCAACTTATATGATTCTTTGCCTATTTTGAGACCTTTTAGCTCTTCATCTTCCCTTATATTGTTTAGTAATATCTCCAATGCTAACACAAATATCAGGGGGGATAGAGGGCATCCCTGTCTTGTACCCTTTTCTATCCTAATC